AGCTATGGATAAACGTCGTTGTCTTTTAAATCGATAATACGGAGCGTTTTAGTGGAAATGTTTTTCTTAGGAGTTCACGGACTCTGCTACCGTTGCTGGTCTTAAATCCTAGGCAACCTTTTGGTTTGATGATGGAGGAAATTTCGAAGTTGCCATTGCCAGAAGTGTTCCTTAACTTTCCTGAAGCAAATGGAATCGACCCTTCAATTTATACAGCCTCTGATTGAACCCCTCGTTTCCTAAGGTAACTTAAAAGTTCGTTTTATCAGTAAAGCTCAAGCACAAACCTTTGTTTTATCTGCTTTAATTGTGGTTTTTTTTTTTTTTTAAATTTCTTTGGGAAAGGTTGAAACCTGGAAGTGAAGCTGAATTTGAAGATATTGAAGCTGAGATGAAGTATAAGCTTTTTAAAGTAAATCGGTGACCTGGTTTTTATTCTCTTCCACCTGATATTCAGATAAGATTGCTAATTCAAAGGATGGAAAGGTGAGGAATATAGCAATTATATCAATAATGGAGGTTATATTTTAGCTTTCTTACCTTGATTGATTGATAAAAGCTTGATGTCTATGCTTTTATTCAGATAATGTTGGTAAGGTCTAGAGGTTTGTCTGACACTTGCATATATAAAGTGATTCTGGTAACTTTATTCCCCCTTATACTACACAACTGTTGTAAAAGATGTTTGCAGCTTATAATGTGAAGTTTAACTCTTTAATGTTCGTTTCTTTGTCTTTTAAGGCATTTTGTCAGGATTGTCAGGCATTTACTCTTTCATATCTTTCAATATTTTTATTTGTTTCAAAATTGTTTTGGTCTTTGAGATCTATGGAATTGATACTGCTTCTAGTGCTGCTGTCTTAGTTTTGAAAATCTCCTCGGGGGATCATGTTCTTGATCTATGTGCTGCTCCCGGTAATTGATCTATTTCTTCCTGTGATTATTTATAGTCAACTGGTCTGGTATATTGCTCATATACCCTTTTTCAGTATAAAGTGGGAGACTTGGTAAAGTCCCAATCTACTGTAGAATGCAAAACATGTTTTCCATCTGGAAGGGCTCATTCTAATGTCAAGTCTTACACGAAGTGTTTGATGGGATTTATTTCTGTGATTCTGTTTATAACACTTGGTTTGTTGGTTTGAACATTACTGAAAACTATATGCATGTATTCTTCCTCTTTTTGTAACTAACAAATATTAAGAAGCTGGATAGTTTATTTCAGAGTAGATTTGGTTGAAAAGGATCATTTCTGGGATCCAATTCACTAGGATGTTTTGCGTAATTTATTTACCACACATATCCAAGCTTTATACCTGCAAACACCTGAGGGATGTTGATATGTGACTGTTAATTTGGGCTAGTCCAGAGTTGCATTCTATTCGTAATTGTTGCATTTACTGTACTTATGAAATTGCTACTTCACTTGGTTTCAACTTTCATGGTCTGAAATGGATTTGAGCTCATGCATGAAAATGGTAATGATGGAGAACTTGACTTTAACAGCTTAGTTGGTTGACGAGCTAAGTTTTTAATGGTGGCCCTGATTGATTTTGGGCTTTTGACTTTGACAGCTTAGTTACTTGACGAGCAAAGTTTTTAACGGTGGCCCTGATTGATCTGGGCTTTAAATCCGCTAGCCTGTTGGTAAACAGGTCAGCTATGGGCCCTTTCTTCTTTTTTGGAGTTGTAACTATTGTTTTCTCTATGATCTAACAGCATTTAATGAGTTAGCATGGTTGTACATAATCATTTTAATAGAAGCATCACTGATAGATCGTTCTGGACTTAGTCTTTGAATCTCTTATAAATGTGAATTTATTAATTTTCTTGGATACAGGGGATATTCAAGGTTCTTTTGTGTTATATTATTTGTGGAGGAAATAGTTCTCCCTGTCATTCCTTTTCTTTCATTCTTATTCACTTTAGATATATGTTTTGAGGTTACTTAACATGAAGATATTCAGCAAAATATTAACGCGAACTCTGGAGCATTTGGTGAAACAAGAGTGAAGTCCATGAAATTGCACTGGCATAAGAAAGAAATTTCAAATCTCTCTCACTTTTGATGTCATTGTTGCAAGTGATCGGTAATTCCTTTTATCTGCTCATGTGTTTTCAATTGCAAATGCATCATGCTCAATCTTTTTAATTATGCATGAAAGCAAAGAGAATCATCAAATTTGGATTGACTACACGCCTTACCATTGACTGTGTTGTAAGTGCTTCGTGACTGGCAAATTTATTCTTCTCTTTTACTATGGATAGCACCGGAGTGCTGGTCACAATCAATCCAATCTAAGCATGTACATGCCAGTCCACATCCTTTGATTTGCATGATCCATACTTATTCTTTCCTAGTCAAGAATTTTATAATTGATCTAGTGAGGCTATTGGAGTAAAGCTTATTTGTTGGCTGCAATTTTTAGTGACCTGGGGATGTCTGCATGTCTAAGTTTTCTTCACTAATCGACAAAAAGTCCCTGTATATGGTACATTTACGCATGCTTGCACCTAGTAACGTACATTTTCTCACCTTTATGGTGCGCTTATCTTATTTCTTGTACTTGGCTTGACATCCAATTTTTGACAGCACCTTTTTCAAGGAATTCCACAAAGATCTTGCTCGGATTACACAGCTCTTGTTGAAAAATGCGGGGCACTCTGAAGTTATATTTTTCAGCTTTAAACGAGGGAATTCATTGGATAAGTTTCTGGAGGTAATTCATTGGATAAGTTTCTGGAGGAAATTGATGACAATGGCTTACCTTTCAGGATAACAGAGAGCTATGACACTGAAATCTGGAAGTGTCATCAACGGTTCATGAATGGTGATGACTCCTGGCCTGGTTATGGAAAAGATCATTGTTACCCATTACTAGTTAGAATTACCCATCCCATCATCTGCACAAACTTTAGGTATCTACGGAAACTTTAGGTATCTACGCATGGTTCCTGTAAAACTTTTGTTGCTGGTTGACCATGTTTGGGTCAGGCATAAGCAGTGTACTGGTTATCTCTCAAGACACCGAGATTCACATGTACATTTATATATGCCAAACTAAATTCAATTGCTATTTGCCAAGTTATTCTGTTGGGGACTAAATATGCATCGATATTGTCTTTTTTATTTATCCTATTCATCGTGACTTTCCTTTTTTAATGTAACATGCATGAGTGCACTCGAACTTTCCATGGAATGTTCCTTATCTCCCCTTTGAGCAACAAAGTTACACTTTGAAAGCTTTTATATCTATCAATGACTTAAAAAAGGCCCTTCAACTCTCCAACAATGGAGATAAGTTAAACTACTTGCTGTTCCAGTAATGGATTTAGCAGGAATTGTAAAATTTTCTTGCTCACTGTAGCATAGAGCAGATATGTGGAAAAACTGTAGACAAACAGCAACTCTAGGATCGATTCCAATGGTTGGTTTCTTCAAACACTCCCACTGGAAGAAAGAAATTGAGGAACTTTCTCAAACGTCTAGAACAGGTTATAAAAGTGGTGGCCAAATCTGATGATTTAGCAAAGGATATCAAGGCTGAAAACAACTTGATTTAGTAATAATCAAACTATATAAATCATCCTTCAAATCCAACTACCATGGAGATTGTTGCTTCATGTCATTTCTTTCTTTCAATCTTTCTTTAAACACCATTGGCAGTGGATCCTGGTTGGTGCTGACGCTATATCCTGATTCACATTTTCTTTCAACTTGCAAATAATTACCATACAAAGCTTTCAAAGATACATGGCAATGCTTGGGAGAAAGGTTGAAAGAGAAAGCAACAATGAGGAAATGGACTTCAATCTCCTTTATATCTCCATGATTTTTGCGTGGATGGTGGTGTTACTTCCTAAAACAAGTTGGCTGAAGAATCATTTCCCACAGGAATCTGACAGTCCTTTGGAACAATTTGGATGGTTACTTGTGTTTGGCTTCTTTAGCTTTTTATTTTCTTTGTTATTTCTATACATCAGCAATTCTCCTCAACTTTTTCTTCCATTACTGCCCTACCATTCATCACAACAAGAAAATTTCAATATCCTCCCACTTTGTCTATCTAATCAAAGCTATGGTGACATTTCACCACATATATCTAAAAAAATCATTTAGTAAAAATCAATTATACAAATTAACATATAAACTAAATATGAAAATTAGAGGTATGATATGATCCTTCAATGTAATTTAGTGACTGGCATTGAATTTATTATGATGAGTTGAAGTTACATGTTAAGACAAAAAGGAATTGATATAGAAATAACAAGAATTGATGGTGATACATTCCTATATACTACTATTAGAATATAATGATAATTAAAACAAAAAGGAATTGATACAAGTTGGAATGATATTATTTTTCTAATAAAAAACCTAATGAACTTTAATTATTTTATGCTTATTTTTTTATTTTGAAAAGAAAAGAAAAAGAAATTTGCAAACTTGGTTATTCTTGCACATTAATCCTCTAATTCACATTGGAGTAACTTTTCGTTAATTTTATAATTTGAGTATTTAATTCAACGATTAATGCATTTGATTAATTTACTTTGCCATCAACTTCATTTTCTTTATTTTCTTCCATTGGAGGTAAGAAACCTTAAAAAGGAAAAAAAGGAAAAAAAAAAAAAAAAAAAACCATGGCAGACCATAATAAATCAAAGCTTGGTGATTCCTTCAAAATGGCTTCCCGCAACAACCATCTCAAGACTCTGATTCAATGTTAAAAGCATACCCTTTTTCCTTTAAGTAAATGTCGTTTTGGAAAAGTTATTTCCTTTTACTTTCTTGGATCTTTCACTTTAGTTTACAAGCTGTGAATCACAAACACTCCATCCAAAAGCTGAAGAAAAAAGAGTAACTTAAAAAAAAAAAAACCATATTCTATTTATGAAACAAAATGATTCACATATTAATAAGAGTATTTAACATTAAAATATTTCATGATTTGGAAGTGGGTGGTCTAAACTTTACAACTAGGATTTTGTCCTACTTTCTTTTTTTTTTTTTTTTTCTTGAAGTTGAATTGAGAAATTGAAAGACTACAAGAACAGAGCTAGGACAAGAAAAATAGTCACAGCAAAACTAAATTGGCTAGGGGAAAATGGTTGGATTCTGGTTGAGTCTCCTGTTGCCAAATTTGCTAGCCATTGAGTAGCCAGTTCAGCCGCCTGTATTGGATCAGGATCCGACCCTGGTTCATTAGTTGTTCCAGTTGTCTTTGGAGCAGGATCCTTTAAAGATTTCAAGCTGCATAAAATTAATGTGACATTAAATATATATGCAACTATCAATCTTTCAAGTGCCAAATTTATATCACATCAAGAGCCCACAATCAGAAAACACTTATTCTCAACAAGAATCTAATGAACCAACCAATCTAAAGAAAGAAAAGAAAAAAAAAAACTTTGAATAAAATGGCAACAATAGTAGTACCAATTATGCTGCAAATAAGAAAATTTTGCTTTAGAAGTTACCTTGGAAGATTGGGACAGAAAGTGATGGTATAATCAGCTCCAGTGCAAGTGAAAGTGCTAGTGGCATCATCAAAAGCATAGCTGTAGGATTTGGGGCAAGCTGATTTGAACACTTCTGAATACATGGAAGGCTTACAAGCGGCCGGACTATTGTAGGCGCCGCTACAACAGTACTCAGGGTTTCCGAAGGCTTCACAGGCGCTCTTACAGGCAGCGCCGCCATCAATTCTTAGCTCAGACGGGCACATTTTATTCAAATCCGTCACGCAACCAGTAGTGGCACACTCTCCTGACCCTCCATTCCCTTCCACAATCATAGGCAAATTATAACCATCCACCAGGCTCACGTCATAGAAGTCCTGGGACCCTGAACCAAGTGTAAACTCTGCTAGGGTGGCTGGCGGGATGGCACCAGCTCCGTTGCATTCAACTTGGCCAGAGCCGCAGTCACCTGTAGCGCATGATCCGTGTCCAGAGTCATAGAAATTACAGCCTGTTCTGCCCCAGAAGCGACCTGCCCAGCCAGTAGGGGCTTGGAAAGAACGAGAGCTTCTTTTTGTGAGTTCAAAGCCTGTACTTTCCAGTTGTGGACTTCCTGGATTAGCTTGAATTCCAGGCCATACCGTGTAATCACATTTGTTGATGAATGTGAAGGTGGCAGCCGTAACAACTGCAAAAATAAACATAGAAAAACAGAGAAACAGAGGGTCAGAATTCAGATTGGTCTACTTATCTAAAAGATCAGAACTTCACGAAAATGTGAACAACCCCATTTCCTAAAAAGCAATTATTCTCATTACCTCTAAGAAACAGGACGAGAGTGAAGCTCAAGAACGTCATAAAAGAATGGTGATAGCAGGGGAACCTAGCCATTAGGGAATATATATCTCTGATTTTGTTGTTAAATGAATGTTCCAAATTCTCAAGTTTCTGTCTTTAATTTTTTATTTAGAATGGAATGTTGTGATTGAAAATAAAAGGGAATTCAGATTGAGCAAAGCTAGTGTTGAAGCCGGTGCAATTGTTGGTGTTCGAAGGAATAAGAAGAAGAAAAAGGAACAGTAACCAAGACAAGGCTTTTTGCTATGGTAGATAGCAAAGATAGAAGAAGAATGAAGAAGATGTTTGGGACTACCACCCATAAAACTCCACAGTTTTTCTCTCTATCTGCTCGAGCCTTCAACTCCTTTCCTTTTTTGCCAAAAAGAGTGGATGGAGGAAGGCTGAGTTGAGTGGTGTTGGTGGTGGGGGAATCTAATCGCCAGCCCTTCATCCCCTTATAAAGGCAAGCATCCTTGAATGTTTATCAAGACAATAGTAGACATGCTCAAATGACTACCTCATTGTCACTTGTTTGCTTCTTTGGCCCCTCTTACCTACCAATTAGACTTTCCTCTTTTTTCTTTTTAATTAAAAATGTCAGTAATGAGAGTACAATTCCAGTTGTTAATACCAACAAGTTTTTTATGAAGGTACTAATAATTTTAGGAAAATGCCATCTCTTCTTTTATTTGAAAAATATTACTACTTTTTCATTGTAAAAAATAAAAAAAAATTATAAATGTTAAAATTTAAATTTTATAACTATTAGATGTTGCATCTTAAAAATAATTGTATGAACTTTTTATGATAACACTTTTAAGGTCCACATTGGCCGACCACTTATCTCTTAAATTATGGCATTATCAAAGAACATAACATGGAATCTCATTGTCTAATATGTAAAAAATATGTTGAAAATGATTCCATGGTTTTGTTATAAAATATAAAACAAGCAAAAAAAAAACAGAATATATTCTATTATAGCTAAGGAAATGAAGATTTAAATGTGAAAGTAACTTTTAGAAGGAAGGGAGATGTGATTCTCAATTAGGGGATAAACTATGAAAATGAGCTTTTTAAAGCCTTTCTTCTGTTTATTTGTTACACAAGAACTATGAACGAGAAAAGAACAGTATCACTTCTCACCCTCTGATCCAATGATAGCTTAAAACCCTGTTTTTCTCCTCTGTTTTGTTGGTGAACTGAACTCCAGAGCTTTGTTATAGTAGTTTACTTCAATCGAAATATATTTTTGACAAAAACATCTCACCAATCAACAAACCTGATGATTGTAGAGAACACATCAACTTGTTTCCCTGTTGCCTAGCATCTAGTATCCATCAAAAGGATATGTTCCACCGTCTCAAAGTTCGTTCAGTCAGGTTCTGATTTTCTTGTCCTCTCATATCATTAATTTTTTAGAGTCTATTCTCTAAATATTTTTCACATTAATTTTTTATTCATAAAAAAGAATTATTCTCGTAATTAACTCTTATAACTGATTAAAAAAAATTCTTATAGATGATTCAGATTATATTTTGCCGACTTCTAAAAAGACCATCAGGATCCATTAATGACAATATTTTGACCTACGTTTTACCCCAAAAATTGAGCATATTGTTTTTGCGTCAATGGGGATAATGTTACCATTATTTTTTTACCTTCGGCTCCAGACATTGATGGGTCAAGAACAAAACAAAAAAATTATATTTTATATAATATATGTTAATACGTAATATTTATATAAAATATTATATAAATATATAAAATTTAATATTTTATATAATATGAATACACAAATCATCGAAATTAAAACTAATAACATTGAATGTCCTCTAATGACAAAGTGTGATCTCCTTGCGTCAAAGCAAATTCTCTCTCTTGGCCAAATTACTGGAAAACTCTCCAATCACGACCCACGACCAACCGGGCTTTGCCTTCTGATGATCTACAGACAACGTTATCAGGAATTTAACCCGTTTGGCGAAACGCCATCCTGAAGGTAGGCGTTGTCGACGTTGCCTTGGAAAGACGAGGCAAATCACATGGTAATTTGAGTGGATGCTACGCACGAGGCTTGCTCATGATCCAACATTTGCATTTTTCGTGGGTCCCTTTGAATAATAAGCCTGATCACATGAAAATATGTTTTTATTCTTTTTATTTTTTTGATAACTTCTTTACTAAGCATATCATCTGCAAGTTTTTTCCTCTTCGCTTGATTTTGGAATGCAAATCCTTAAAGTGTATTTGTCTCATAGATCTCATGCATGAAACTGAAACATTAGTTAAAGGGAAAAGTCTGACCATAACTTGCATTGTCAGAGTCCAACAATTCCACATGGACAAATCTGTGACGGGCAATAGCTACGTACAACTTTCCAAAGATTATTGCTAGGTCGTCGTGTTTAAGCACATGGAGCTTTACATTTCTTGCCGCAACTTCCATCCAAGTTCGTTGTTTGTTTCATTTAACAGCTTTTTGTGGGATCCCCAACTTTTCAGCAGGATTGCTTTGTCCAGCTTTTCGAGTGAGATAACCACTGTTACAGATAAGGGCCCCTTTCGTCTATATGCGAGCCAAATAGTCTCTGATTGTATAGAATTCTTTCTATGGTGGAGTGGAAATGGATGTTTCCTAAAACCCTTTTGCCATTTATCTTTATTTTCTTTGTTTAGGTAGCTAGTGGACCCTGTTTGAATTAACTCTAACTGGGATTTTCTCTTAAAGCTCAAACCAGAATTTAATCTGATTTAACATCAACTTGTTGTAAAAGTCTATCTATCCAACTGGTCAAGTGAAAGTGGATGGCGTGCACTAAATTAAGCGACCTAGCAATCAAAATTAAGCACTTATCAAGTGGGAGGTCTAATCTAATCTAATCTAATCAAATCAATCTCCCCCGTTCAAATTTTCATTAGTTTTTTTTGGTCAAATTTTCTGATCTAATCATGGCGAATGGGCCTGAATATCAGTTCTGAAACCTGTACTTTGTACTTAATTGCGCAAATTATGCATTGGAAAATGGTTTTTCGATCAAATTAATAAGATGGTTTCTCTTAAAAACAGTGTTCATCAGTGAAATAGTCTTTTCTGCAGAAGATTAATATAGGATGATAACCAGATAAAACTTATCAGGTTATTAAAAATTTTCAATTGCGTATCAAATATATAAGGAGACTAGGAATCCCTTTACTTACTTCCATCAACATCTAGAGGGACCTCCATAGTTGTGCGGTATGCCGTGTAGATAAGATCGTTTAACCTTTTTTTTCCTTCTTTTTCGTAGGCATACATCGTCGTCTCCCTTTCCCCCATTTTTTCTTTCAGCAATCCATCGTTCTTTAATAAAGTTTTGTTGTCATGCTTTGTCCACTATGCTGATTTTGATAGTAAAAAACATTCTTTCTGAAAAAGGTTCGGTCGAATCTTTGTTTCTTAAGCTTTCTCCTTTAATTTAATTACTTTTTTCTCTATGGCATAAGATTGTATTATATGAGTAATTATGGAAAGCAGAAAAGTGGTTTTCACACGGATGTTAGTGTAATTAAACTGACATTAATTATATGCAGAAGAAAAATGAAAATGATGAACGTAATTACAAGGAAATTGAAATTGTTTTTAAAAAAATGGAAGGTGAAACAAAGAACAGTAATTTGGGTAGAGAGGGAGGGAACATGGGAGATGGAAAAAGTTAAGGTCTTTAGCTTTGCCTTATCAAGATGTGGTTCGGCTGATGGCTGAAAGTGCCTTTTATCTTCTGCCTTTTTAAGAAATTCTTAATTTGACATGGCTTGGTTTGTTTTCATATGTTTATCCTCTCAAAAAATAGTCTGCTCCTCCATTTCTCCCACAAATTCTTTTGAGGATGAGATCAGATCACTAGCTTTGTTGAAAAATGAAAGATTCATTGCACAACATGAATGCATTCACATCTACATAAAGTTTGATGTGTTGAGGCTTTCCAAAGCTAACATTGACAAAGCAACACTAGAATGCACCTAAATGAAGTATAATTCAAGTGAATTCTGAGAGAATGCTATCTAAAACCTCCTTGCAATATCAAATGTGACGATAGGTCAGGGTAATTTCAAGTTTTCAACTGTTGTGGAAATGCCAGAATCCTACATCGTCGGAATTGTTCAGTTGGGTGTTCATTAGTTTCATTCTTTCCATTTTCAAGTGAAAATTCCATAGCCAACTGCATCTTGAGGAAGATTGCCTTACCTACGAATGCAACAGATTACAGATTTTAGCAAACAATTTGGTCACACAGATTAGTTGGAGCGTGGAACCTGCCAGGATCACAGTAAATAAACGATCGTAGCCCTGATACTTCAACAAGCCAAGTCGGTTTTTCCATGATTCCATAATAGTTTAACATCCAAGTTGAGATGGAAATCAGCTTGAAAAGCCCACATACGCAGCCCAGAAGTTAAATGCTTTATGAAACTCGATTTATGACATTATCCATTACATAACAGCCATCTGGGTCTTTCAAACCTCTTTCCTTGACTAAATGACTAGAAAGTTTTATCCTCGACGAAACTGAGCTAGGCAAATGGGCTATCAAATTGGAACATAAAAAAGATGTCCTTTTACACCTTGAATTCTACGATACAACACATGAATACGTGTTTATGAGGTTGACAGATAGAATGGCCTTTCCGAAGGTGAAAAAAACGCTGCAGTTTTGCTGCTTATGGCTGCTCTAGGAAAATATGTAAAAATATGACTTTGACGCATCATCAATGAGTCATGGATGTCAAGTTTCATACTATTTTTACCCCATACATTTTAGAGCCATAAAACCATCCAAACTAGCAGAACTTTCAGATGACTTGTATGATATAAGAGTCCAAAAATTATAGAACTACTATTTTATATCCTCCATATGTTGCCCCAAATTCCACGTTAAAAAATGTATGTAAAGATTCAAATTGAAATTTATGATCATTTTTTGTGAAATAAAATTATAAAAATTTTGAATTAAAGTAGATAATATCTTGTAAGTTAGATGTGAGTTTTCATAAATGGTATCAGAACGGTCACTAATTGATGAAAACTAAGTACTACATAATAAGACTATAGAAGTCACTAAATGTTATATGATGGTGAAAACACTTATAAAATCTTAACGTCTGGTGTGATCTAGATCTTATGATTGAACTCTAATATCTGATGTGCTCATCAATTGACGGAAACTAAGTGCTACATGGTAAAACTGTGAGAGTTACTAAGTGTTACACAATGAAGAGTCACTTCTAAAATCATAACGTTTAGTGTGATTTTAGTCCTGTAATTGAACTCGTCTAGTGTGTTCACCAATTGGTAGAAACTAAGTACTACACGATGGGATTGTGAGAGTCACTAAATGTTACACGATGAAGAGTCACCTCTAAGACATTTGATTTGATCTTAGTCCTATGGTTGGACTCTAATGTCTGATGTGATCTTAATCATGTGATTAGATTCAGTTTGACAGAGGCATCAAGTTGTAAAAGTGAAAAAATTGTGATGCACCCAATTTCACGTGAGATTGGAAGAATGCTGGCTTGACAGAGATGTTATGTTTTAACAGTGAAGAAATTATGACGCTCATTATCTCATATTAAAAGAATATATGAATATAGTATGATATATATGTAAAAAA